CTTCCAATTCGCCATCGATTCTAGAAGAAAAGCAGATTTTGTCGCCTTACGTGTCTTTTCCTTCCACCGGTTTGGCCAAATACTTGTACTTTGGTACTTAGGTGCGATTCCCCAATCCGTCTGTGTTAGGCAATGTTGCCTTTATGCGTAGATTGCAGCCGGCGAGATCGGCGATTTTGGCATCATGGGCAATACTATGTGATTTGATATCGACACAAATCTACTGGAAAGTGTGTCGCAAAACATGGATTCACGCGCGTATAGTTCAATGGCTATTCAATAGGGGCGTTTATCACGGCAATACCCTTACCCAGGTCCCCAAACATTCCGCATCAGGTACAAGCATCACCCATCCATCACATTCCTATCACCATCGCAAAACGTCATAACAGCCCCGAGCTGGCCCCATTCATTACTCCAACAGGAAACAAGAGTCAAAAACCATAGATTCCAGTCGCTCTTCTTCGGACTTATTATTCTGATCCATCTCCCAAAACATTCGTCATTTCCGTTTTATTCCCACTTAAAACCCTGGAATACTATGTGGCGTTTGCCCGGATCGGCATCGGCAAGGTATCGGCAGAGACACCCACCCTGCGTCGGGTCATCTACCCGAACACCACCCTTCATTCAATCTTACCCTTGTTTCACGCCTTGGCCTCGCCACAATCACGCATTTTCACGCCCCCATTCGTGCTGCAATGGGAAGGAAACGGTGAAAAGTGTTGATTCTAGTCGGTCAAATGCGGTGCTTCTCGGGCGCATTGCGTGAATCCTTCGGTGGCTTGGGGTGGTGATGGTTGGATGGGAGAATGGATATGAGGGGGCAAATAGGCAAGGGAGTGGATTGTAGTCACAAACTCTGCATGAAGAGACTTTGTGAAGAGCAGGAGATGTAGGAGGGAGAGGTGATATATCATTGTTTTCTATTTGCTGCTTTCTTTTGGTAGAGAAAGGTAAGATGAGAATATGGGTTCACCATACTCGCGTTGACCCTTTTCCCTCTTTCTGTTGGAAACCACACTCTTGTCTTCCAGTACCTCTCTCCACACTTCCATACCAAGATCTCGATTGTCTATACTGTCGGCCCTTCTCTGCAATCTACACCCTCCTACCATTTCCCTATTCAGGAAACTTTCCAGTCCATCTCGACGCAAGAGTCTAGACTCGCATACCCCTAACCACCAAACTCCGTTCTCTATGTGCCGCAAACTCCGGACCACAGCATGAACAATATCCTGTAAACGGAAACTTCCATCACCCCACCGTAGAAACCAGGCTCCTTATCGCACTTAGCCGCACCTTAGAGTTTCGCCTGCCTCCGCGGAACCAGACTGGGCCCAGACACGCGGCCACCTACTGAACCGGGCAAACTCTCCCCTCTGTATCACCTTATTAGGAAGGAGAAGAAGAAAGTCGTTGATTGTGGCCAAGATTGCGGGCCGCGACGGGTATGCAAGGGGTCCGGGTTACTGAAGCAAGTTTTGGTAAGTGTTGCTAGGGTACCGTACTGATTCCTATACGGCGGGGATGATGGAACCTGAAGTGCTATGGAAGATACCTAGAGGAGAAGGTTTGAGGGAAAGTTGTTGCTTATAGCGGCCAAGGTGGCCGTACAATTTTTGTATGGACCTATTTTTTTCTTCTAGGGCCTGCTTTGGGTCAAAGAGGGGAAGTGGGTGATGTTACCATGGTAGTTATACCTGGTCTCACCAAGACCATTTTCACATAACACCAGTGACTCGCAACGTATGTACCAAGAATCTTGATTGGATCTGAATGTGGTCGCATTTGTTCTGACTAACCAGTAATGGGTCGTATATTGATGTCCTTACCGTCTATGTATCCTTCCATTTATTCACAAGTTGTTCGCCTCTATCTCTAACACTGCACACCAAACTTACGTAAGGTCTCTTTTCCAGTGGTGATCTTCATACCGATTCTGAAAACACGTATTAGCCTTGAACTGTAAAGAGAAGAAACTCATCACGTACCTTGCATCCAAGTCGAACCCACCCATCTTTGTAACCTCATCGAGCCAATCCTTACACTGAACCAACATCTGAGGGTTCTTCTCCGGATGCCCGTCAGCGTCAGCCTCACGCCAGATGTTTGCAGCCATCTCGTAGCGTGCACAAGGCGCGGTCCAGTTGTCCTTGAAATTGCCTGTGAGAAGCGCTTTATCAACCGGTAAAACCTCTTTCTCTAAGATATTCTTGGCTTCGACTGTCTGATCCATGTTTCTAAGAGTAGCAGCGCGAAGGACGTTGAGGATAGACTTTTCGTCTACACCCTCCTTGTCCCAGTGTGGATTGGCGGCTGACTCGCTCCACGCCAGGTTGGCGAGGGAGACTTCGAGATGATCGTTTCGCATGCGTTTGTATCCGTTCCAGAAGTAGATCATCTCTTCGAGTGGTGATACACCTACGGCGTCTACCAGGTCGCAGTTCCACTCCTTCGCACGTGCCTCCCATTTCTGGATCTTACGGGCAACGAAGATGTCGAAAGGTAGCTGACGTGCCATGAACTTCTTCTTTCCCACGTTTGGCATGACCTTCTTCATGTATTCTTCTGCTTTTGCACCGTACTCCTTTGCCTCAGTTGGATTGGTTGTCTTGTGTTTTCTGTAGAGCTCGACATATGAGGCGGCGATGATGTGGTAGTACAATGCGTGACTCCAGTTGTTGAGCCCAATGCATGTTTCGAAAGCGAATGCAGTCGCTTTGTAGTCGTGCATGTACATGTTATTCAAACTTTGTTCGAACCATCTAAGCGCTTCGAGCTGCTTTAGCTTCGACTCGCCCATGTCGTCCATGAACTTAACAGCCTTCTCCAACTCTTTCTCTGAAGCGAGCATTCGAGACTCCTCCAGCAGCCAAAGGTGACTTGTAGGGTACCTTGCGCGCATGTAGCGGAGCAAAGCTAGGCACTGTTCCTTGGGATATGCACCCTCACCCTTGGTAGGAAGTATGTCGCAGAAGTTTGTGAACCCATTTATGTATCCCATCAGCACAACACCAGCCATAGCACCGTGGATGTTGTGGAACTTAGTTGCTTGCCATAGCATGCGCATGCCCCTTTCGCGATCGCCCTTGAAGCCAACGATCTTCAACAACCCAGCAAAGGATGGCGGGATGAATGAGAGAATGAGTAATAGCATACCGAAGCAAAAGTTCGATCCAGAGAGGATGAAGACATCCACGGGGTGTTTACTGAACGACGCAATGTCTGCATCTGCATCACCTTGATCGTTCAAGGTGAGTTGCTCAAAGTATTCGATGGCGTCTGGTAGGGAATCTGATGGGTTCTCGTTCGTGACGGGAAGCCCTGGCGCAGAGCTTGCTCCGACGTCAACCGTCTTCTCAGCGTTGTTGAGCTCGACTGAAGCACCTTTATCGGCAGCTATATTGAGGTTCCCCTGGTACTCTGCAGGCGTTGAAACACCTGTCTTATCCTCTGCAGCGTCCACAAAATCGAAATCGTCATCGTCATCATCTGTAGCCTTCTTCGCTGCTGGTCCAGTCACCGTGGTACTTTGCTTCAGACTAGAAGTTGACGCTGCAGCAGACGGCCCGGCCGAAGTAGCAGGCTGAGAGGTTTTGAGACCGCTACCTGCCAAGTTTGAGCGAACCGAGCCCTTGGAAGAGCCGCGCGACCCTAAAGAATTGACACTACTTGTACTTCTCTGGCTCAAGAATTTCTTCTCATTCTCCATAACAGCCTCCAGTGCAAGGTACGCTTTCCTCAACTTGTAGAAACTCTTGATAGCTTCCGTCAAGCTTTCGTTGAGCACACCGACAACGGCGCTCATGAGCTGTGCCTCTGCCTGACATACCGCGTATTCGGTGCCTGGGGGATATATGGGTGATTTGTATGCATTCGGATCTTTGCTAACTTGGCGTTGACGTTCATAAGCCGAGTTCTCTGCCAAAGATAAGGCGTTGGCAGCTGTAGACGGCATCAGTCAGTCGAGGTCTGTAATACTATGTTGAGTACGTGATCAGACCTTCGCGTACAATTTCTGGCTCAAAGCCCAACGTTGCCCGTATGAAAACACACACTCCCGACCCAAGCTACATGGTATGAGACTAGAACCGAAGTATATGCCCATGGGCTGGATGATAGGTATGTACCTGGTGGAATGGCGAACTGCCTTTGTTGAGGTGTGCTTCGGCGCTTTCGATATCATCGGCCATGATATAGGTGACAGCTATGCTCGCGTGTGGTTAGTCCCATTCGCGTCACCGTATTGGGCTGTGTCGGAAGTCGTACCGCTCATGGCATCCTCGACTGTGTTGCATTAGTATTTGCCTGCCCTGTGTATGTCGCGAGACTCACTCTGTGCAAGTTCACTCAGAGAATCCAAGCTCTTTGTATGCCCAGGGGCATGGCCCTTGAGCCAACCGCCGACTTTGAACATGTTGTATAGATAATTCCCGCACGTCTGGGAGCGGGAGGCGGGGCAGAATTCACCAGAGAAACCAGATGAGGAAAAAAAGAGGGTGAAAAGAAGGGTGGAAGGAAAAGAAGCAGTATATTCAAAAAGACTACGCAGAGCGGATACCCCAGCTAAGACGCTGAGCGCGTGTCTAGAAACCTACTAAAGCCAACCAGACGGGATGTGCTTACAGCTTCGTCCGGCCACTCGGAGCTAAAGTACGAGTACGTCATGTTCATCATCCGGAGCTTATCCTACAGTCCACTCCGCCGCGCGTTGAAACGAGTGAATACGGTATACGACGGTGATAACGAAACATCCAAATCCACCAGATGGAACTTTCTCGGAGCCAAGCAGCGACATGTGAGAGTCGGTACCCCGCGAATCCAGTTTCCATGAGTGCCACGTGATGTCGCGCTAAGCCTTGCGGACAATCGCCGCCTCCTCCGCTGTTGGAGCCGCATCCCACAGCTCACCAAAGCACAACATCGCGTCATCCTCCACCAGCCCATCTGAACAAATCCACAACACGTCTTCCGATCGCATCTTCTAGACCGCCACAATGTCCGGCTCAGCACAAGGCAGCAACGACATGAAGAAGGCCGTAGTCAACGACTCCAAGAACGGCGAGCAACCGCTGGCGCCCGAGAAGAAGCCCGCAACACAACTGGAGGAGGACGACGAGTTTGAGGACTTTCCTGTAGAGGGTATGTTGTGCGTGTGGTCAAAGAGGATGGGCATCATGCTGATAAGCTTACAGACTGGACTGAGGAGGAGACACAGATCCCCAACGGCAACACACATCTTTGGGAAGAGAGCTGGGATGACGATGACACAAACGACGACTTTGCGGTCCAACTGAGGTAAGAGGAACTCCTTGTATGATACAAAGTTAGGACTAACAATTCATAGGGAGGAGCTTAAGAAGCTGGGCAAATGAGCAATTCGACACGAGCAGACACGACGACCTTATCAACAAATGAGCTTCTGATTCGCTCATGATACTTGCATGACTGGGCAGGCGGCTCCATGAGAGCTCTCTAAACATCACGCCCGTGGGGCACAAGGTGGAGATGCGGTATCTCTATATTGAACCAAAAAGAGCTATAGCTACACACAATCATAACTTCGAAGATATACCTTCCCTGATCTTGAGCCACCATTCACTTCCTTTGAGTGACTGGTTTACTTACTTGACAGGGCAGAAACACCGGGCAGATCCTTGCCCTCGAGCAGTTCGAGCGACGCACCACCACCGGTCGAGACGTGAGACAGCTTGTCTTCTACACCGTACTTAGCAGCAACAGTGGCTGTGTCACCACCACCGATGATGACAATCTTGCCGCTCTGTGCAGCATCAACCGCAGCATCGAGTGTCGCCTTGGTACCCTTGGCAAACTTCTCAAACTCGAACACACCGGCGGGTCCGTTCCAGAGGATGGTCTTTGCCTCATCAATGGCCTCCTTGTACAGCTTGATTGACTTGTCTCCGCAGTCGAGACCCATCCAGCCGTCTGGGATACCGTCCTTGTCCTCAGCGTAGCCAGTGTTAGCGTCCTTGTCGAACTTGTCGGCGGTGATGTAGTCAACAGGCAAGACAATCTTGACGTTGTTCTTCTTCGCCTTCTCAACAAGATCCTTGACGGTCTTGCTGCCAGCCTCGTCGAACAAGCTGTCACCAATGTTGACGCCCTCGAGTGTCTTCTTGAAGGTGAATGACATGCCTCCGCAGATGATGAGACTGTTGACCTTTCCGAGCAGGTTGTCAATCAGCTGAATCTTGTCGGAGACCTTGGCACCACCGAGAATGGCAAGGAAGGGTCGCTTGGGCTCCTCGAGCGCTTGCGCAAAGTAGTCGAGCTCCTTCTTGACAAGGAAGCCAGACGCCTTTTGTGGGAGGTCGACACCGACCATGGAGCTGTGTGCGCGGTGGGCGGTACCGAAAGCATCGTCTATGTTCCGTCAGTTCTGTACATCTACTGACCATATTATGGATCCACTCACTGATGTAGATGTCACCAAGAGCAGTCAGGCCCTTCCTGAACTCTTCGACCTTGCTCTTGTCAACCTTCTGCTTCTTGCCCTCATCGTCCTTGTAGCTACCCTCCTCCTCGGCGTGGAAGCGCAGGTTCTCCAGAAGGATGACCTGACCGTCCTTGGCGCTGTTGACAGTGTCCTCGACCGACTTGCCGACGCAGTCGTCTGTGAAAGTTACGCTCTTGCCGAGCAGCTTCTCAAGCTCGGGAACAACCGGCTTGAGACTGTACTTGGCGTTTGGCTTTCCGTCTGGGCGACCAAGATGCGACATGAGGATGACAGCCTTTGCGCCATTTTCAATTGCGTATTTGATTGTGGGAAGAGCGCCGACGATGCGCTGGTTGTTGGTGATCTTGTCGCCGTCTAGAGGTACGTTGAAGTCGACCTGATCAAGCAATTAGATTCGCAACTCGCGTATGATATAAAGCATTGAATATATACATACTCGGATAAGGACGCGCTTGCCCTTGAGGTCGACGTCGGCGATTGACAGCTTGTTGGAAAGAGACATGATGGATGTATGGTAGTACTGTGATGGTGTGAGTTCAAAGAAGCTATGAATGTAGACTGGTCTATCAAGGTATACGAAAGCCAGTTATATATCTCAGGTAAAGGTGAACTTACGTCAAGATGTTGAAGGAGAGAAGATGAAGCGTGGGTGGTTTCAATGTTTGTTGTCGAGCTTCAGATCGTCATGGGCAGGCTTGGTGGGGTGTAGCGGGGCAATCCATAGGTTCCTCACAGCTGCATGCAAAGCTTCTTGCTCCCACTCCTTATCGAACCACAAAAAAGCAAGCTGACGTGACCGGACTAACAAAATTAGCTGATATAAAACACTTTTTGCTGCCCGCGCGTCCTGGCGCTTCACAAAGTGGGCGGCCAAGGTCCATATCCTCCCGCGGCCGAGAGTCCTCAGTCGCGTTAGGGTATGTAGCTACACGGATCTTCCCATGTCTCTGCGCCTCTTAGATCATGTCTCCTCTGATGAAGAGACTCGGTGAGATGCCTTTCGTGAACATGTGCACGGTAAGAGACGTTTACGTATAAAGATAGCTCTTCATTCTGATCAAATTCGAGGCTGTACATAAATGACATTGACCCGTAGCAAAAGTCAACTACCCTGACGCCGTGCAAATGCCCAACCAAACATGCTAACGCGCGAGAAACTCAAGGGGAATCACCCGATGCAATCATGACCTAACCTAGCCCTGTGTGTGCGTATGATATTTATACATGGGAGTTTGTTCGCATAATCGGATAGCCTTAAGCGGCGTCATCAGCCGAATTGGTCAGGGAAAGGTAAGCTGTCCAAGCGATACCGACGGTAGACACAAACGGCTGGCGTAAGTTAGTCGCTATCGTTATGACGTAGGGTGGAATACTTACAATCTGGAACTGAATAGGCATGATACGGAAATTGATCAGCTGTACAGCCGGCCAGACCATGTAGTTGGCTTGAAGCGCAGGCACATAGACATCTTGGAACTTGCGCTGCACCGCACGCTTGCCACCACCCTCGGCAACTGTCATGAAGTTGAAGAAGGCAGCCAGACCAGCTGGAGCAAACAAAAATTGATCGAAAGCTACGCGCTTCAATGCAGGCAACCAAGCCGCACCCTTTGACACGGGGAAAGTCCTGGACAAGAAGCCAAACCACCTGTGCTGGATCGGCGACATGAGGAAACCGTAGGACATGAATCTGGTGGTTCGCTCGAAGTCGAAAGGCGGTGGAAGCAGCTTGGAATCGGGGATAAGATCGTTGTCGTTGAACGGGTTCCGTCTGTCAAGCTCGTGAATCTCAATAGCCAAAAAGTCATCTTTGCCCGGTCCACCCTTCTTGCGCACTGCGCGCTCTCGCACTGCAGTCAGTGTCTGAGCTACTGTGTCCGCGATACCACCCAACACCTGCAAATGGCGTTAGCCTTCCTGTCTCGTCACGTCTGAATATACGTCGGGTCCGACGCCGATGTCGCAGCATCCGATGCGGTGATGGCGCGACAACGGCTCGCGATAGCCATGGTATTGTGTTCATGTAAAGGGGTAGCACGTACGGCGTTGGTGATCATCGTGGTCAAAACTGGGCGCGCCGCATAGTACTGGTTGTACTTGCGCGTGAGCAAACTGACTGCAGCCATCTGTAGAAGAAATACTATCGAGTGCAGCAGTGGCTGGTAATAAATTAGTCGGCCATCAGATAGGATCCAGACAAGTAGCTCACAATCTTCCCGTAAATCCAGCGACTGTTCAGCTGGTAAAGCAGTCTGTGTCTGGTGCTGTTCATGTTTAGTATGGGTCCTGTGAAAAGCTCTAGGTGTAGCGTTGCTCGAAGATCGCGATGACGTTGATGAAACGTAGCCGCGAGGTCCGTGTGCGGCTATAAGTGGTCCTATCTCTTGAGGCTCTAATGCGCGATAAGGGCTGGGAGCAGGCGAGAATGCTATCGTGATCGGAAGAACAGTTTGTAGGAAAGTGTCGCAGGAGCAGGCGCAGTCGTCGCCTAGGGTTCAAATGCGGAGGTGCTGGGAACAGTGGCGAGAGTTTCACGGGCCGGCACCAATGACGGGTTTCAGACATCAACTGGCATCAGCCTAGTTCCGCGCGGCTACGGGCGCGTACCATGAACTATGCTCGAAATGAAGATGTGAGCCCGAGCCATCTTGCACTTTCTTGCTGGTCATGCTCGATGGTAGCACCTGTACTTTGGTATGCATAGCGCCTGCTGAGTTCCATACTGGTTCTTGGCGCCACAGCATAGTCCAGGTAGCTATGAGCATTGCGCAACACAAAGATCGATAGTAGCATATTGTATTTATTGTACGCCTCAACGACCGAATGATAGTCTCAGCTACGACCTAACCCGATGCTACGGAGCCACAGCGACAACACTCGGTAACTCACGAATATCAACGGCTTCATTGGTAACCAGATCGACGACTCGTATAGACTCGACAGACAAGACACCTGCAGAGAGTGCAAGAAATTTGAGATCAGCTGTATAGCAAGAACCAGGCGACAGTTGTCTACGCACGTTAGCATATCTGATTCAGGAAAGTCTTGCTTATCAAAACTCACCCCAGACGAATGTCCGTTGTCAAGCAAATCAACTCGGCTGTCTCTGTCCTTCCGCTCTTTTGCTTTGCGTACACAACGTTCTCGTCGACTACTGCTGTACCGAGAAGCTCTTTTCGGTCTGCTCGAGGCCCACCTACAGAGGATGTGGATGGATGTGATTTGTGCCTCCCCATATCATGAGACCTTTTCGCGATAACAAGAACAGCTAGTCTTCGTGTTTTGTCGGATCGGTTGACAATGAACACATCCCATGTGAAGATCTCACCAACCTGGACACTGGACGGCCCAGACACTGTCAGAGTAACATTAACGTCGTTTTTCGAAGCATCCTGTTCGGGCTGGTCTTGAGCGTCTTGGGTGACAAGTGCGTCAGGATTGACTGCGTTCGTACTCTGTATTGTAGAGGCACTCTGCCGGTGAATGGCCTTGGTCAAGCTGAGCGTCTGTTCGGACGCAAAGTCAATGGGCGTCTTCCATTCGATAGCAATATCCGGATGACATTGATCAGACATTGTAACATTGGCCTCAACATTCAATGTCAAGTAATGGCTCTTGCTCCCAAGTGCTGGTGTCCCGTCAGTGCCCAAGTCAGGCCAGATCTTGTACAAGAAGGTCAGTTGGTCACCAGGCTTGTGACTCGTCGTAGTATCCAGTTCGTCGTTCAGCTCTTTGACCTTGCCTCCATGCAGAGCCAAGTTGACTTTCTTGATTCTGACATCGTAAGTTGCGAATTGAGCGACCTCCAGGTCCAAAGAGGCCATCAACGACAAGTCACTTAATGATGCCTGGATCCTCGAATACCTCATCCTCCAAATCAATGGTGGAAGTACACGAAACAAGGGCCTTTGACCGTTTTGGATCGGTCGAGCCATTTCTTTTGCAGCAGGAGCACTCGGCGTGACCTTGCTTATACGCATTGCCGAGAGTCTTGGATGAACACCAATAAGAGCAGGATCGCTCTCAAAGGCCTGAAGCAGGTTCAGAGGCGTAGGTGTACGGCTTGGGAGATATTCATCCTCCGATGCGTCCTTTTGAGGTTTTTCTGTAGGCTTGAAGGAGGCTGTGGGCTGGAAATACACTGCGGGCTTATGATATCTGCCCTGAGGTCGAGCTGCTCCATGTCAGACACGGTGCAGGGAAGACAGGTTGATTTGCTCACCTATGAAAACGTCCACCTTCCAGACAACATAAGTATGAGCACTGTCTCCCTCCCCATGATTGATGACCGTAGGCTCATCTTTATGGTTGATGGTACCAGAGAAGATGACTTCCTTGGGAGGCGTAGCTTTCGTATCTTGGTCAGACGGAGGAACCGTGCTGAAGGCAAAGGCTTCCACGCTGATGACCAGTCTCGCAAGATATGACTTCAAGGTCGCTTCTTCTAATAGTGGCGTTTGGAAAACAACATATACAGCTAGGAGTTCATCTAAAAGCCTGTGCATGAGTAAGAGACATGCTGGTCTTGTTGACTTGGCTAAGACGTACCGAGGAGCAGCACATGTCGTTGTGCTAAGAAGGGCAATATGGAGCCGTTGTCATCTGGTGCACCATCCCAAGAGTCGATCTCGTTCTTGATATCAACGTCGGAACTTGCAGGCACAATGGCTTCCAGTACTGAGCTCTCGGCAAACTCGAGGCTCCTACGGGGCGACGCTTCCTCAGCCTCTGCCATGATTGCCTGCAAGATTGTCGAGGTAGACGTGAGGGCGAAGGTGCACGTGAATGCTGTGCCTGAGCTAGGGGACCGGGTTTCGCGCTAGTCCATCTGTCCGTGCGCTAAGAAGTTGCACAACTTGTTCGCATGCGAGCTTCACCAGTCTACCGATCAACCACGCGCCATCTCCAACAACCGTCGCAATGAACGGCCCCCCATTCGCGCCCCCGGCTCCCGTCTGGTCGAGTGCGAAAGCAGCAGATGGCAGAGAGTACTACTACAACAGGCTCACCCAGCAGACGACATGGGAGAAGCCGGACGAGCTCAAGGACGATGTAGAGCGCGCCCTCCCTGGCACCGGCTGGGCGGCACACATGTCGAATGGCAGAAGATACTACGTCAAGACTGGCACGACAGAGACGACGTGGGAGATTCCCGAGCCTGTCCAGAAGAAGATCGACGAATACAACCAGAATCAGCAGAATCAGCGCCCTCCTCCTTCGGGTCCTGCCGGATGGCCAGCGGGCCCAGCCTCGGGCGCGCCTGCCTACGACAACAGGCGCGAACGCGACGAGTACCGCCCCGACCGACACGATCGCCGTGATGACCGTGACCGTGACCGTGACCGCGACCGCGACCGCCGCGATGATCGCGAGTCTGGCTTTGGCGGCGACCGGCCCAACATCAGCTTCACAACGGGAACCGAGCATCTCCAATTCTCAACCCCACAAGACGCCGAGGCTGCCTTCATGAAGGTGCTCAAGCAAATGAAAGTGCAGCCTGACTGGACCTGGCTGCAGGCTGTGCGCGCCGGTATCCACGACCCCAATTGGCGCGCCATCCCTGAGCCGGAGAAGCGTGAGGAGGCCTTCAAGAAGTACTGCGAAGACTTGCGCGCTCAGGAGAAGCACAAGGAGCAGGACCGCCAGGCCAAGCTACGGTCCGACTTTACCGCCATGTTGCGCTCGCACCCTGAGATCAAGTACTACACGCGCTGGAAGACTGCTTGGCCCATCATCGAGGAGGAAACCATCTTCCGCTCTGCCAAAGACGATGCCGAGCGCAGGGCTCTGTTTGAGGAATACATCATCTCTTTGAAGAAGGCGCATGAGGAGGAAGAGGCAGAGAGCAGGCGATCCGCTCTCGACCAAATCATGGGTCTGCTGCAGGGCTTGGATTTGGAGCCGTTTACGCGCTGGCAGGCAGCTGAAGAGAAACTGGAACAGAACCACGAGTTCAACAGCGACAAGTTCGAGACTCTGACTCGAATGGACGTTCTGAACCAATTCGAGAAGCACATCAGGCAGCTCCAGCGCGAACACAACGACAAGGTTCAAGCCGAGCGACGCAAGAAGCACCGTGTCGAGCGCAAGAACCGCGATGCGTTCCTCGAGCTCCTAGACGATCTTAGGAAAAGTGGTTTGCTCCGCGCCGGTACCAAGTGGAAGGACATTCACGATACTATCCAGGACGACCCGCGCTACACGGCTATGCTTGGACAGAGTGGATCATCGCCGCTTGATCTATTCCGCGATGCTCTGGAGGAAGAAGAGGGCAAGTTCCGCACCCTGCGCCGACGAGCGCTCGACGTGCTGGAGCAACAACGCTTCGAGGTTACCACAGCGACCCCTGTGGAAGAGTTCCTTAACATTATGCGAAAAGATCCTCGCACCGCTGATATTGACGAACAGTCCATGCATAGCATCTACAACTACGTCCTTGCTAAGGTCAAGAAGCGCGAGGAGGAAGAACGTCGAGACGAGGAATATATCGAGCGCTCAGCTGTGGACAAACTTCGGTCTGTGATCAAGCACCTTGATCCACCAGTGTCTCTATCAGACACCTGGGAAGTGGTACGTCCCCGCGTTGAAAAGACAGACGAGTATCGCGCACTGAAATCAGATACCCTCCGCGAGTCGGCTTTCGATAAGTTCATGTCCCGCTTGAAGGAGAAGGAGAGCGATCGCAGGGATCGAAGTAGGCGCGATGATCGTGACCGTGATAGGGACAGGCGCGACCGAGATCGTGAGTATCGCAATGGGCATTCTGATTCTCATCGTCGTCATCGTACGCGAACTCGCTCACCTGAACATGATCCGTACGCTGCAGAGCGCCGTCGTGCGGTGCAGGACAGGGAGGCGCGCTACAGGAACAACGACAGCACAGGCTTATCTCCTCCCCGACGCCGTGAGCGCCGAGATGACGATCGCTATGAGCGCTCTCGTCGCAGCCCCGGCGGTGATCATTACGGGCTTGAGCGTCGCGAGCGTGAAGTCGAGCGCGAGCGATCCTACGTTAGCAGGGCCGACCCTCGTGAGGCCACCGTTAGTCTGCTAGATTATGGCGACAGCGGCGGTCGCACCTCGTCGACTCGACGCCGTCGGGAAAGCGACGAGAGCTCTTCTAAGCGTGATCGTGAGACCAAGGTACGCAAAACTATGCCCCACGCACATCCATAGTACGAGACTGACTTTGTCACAGCGTGCCCGCTACTCTCCACGCGCCGCCGACCGTAAGTCGAAGACTCCCATCCCCGATTCCGCCGCCCTCAAGAA